GGGTTTAGGGTGTAGGGTTTCGGGAAGTGGATGTGAAACGCAAAACCCCGGAACCCAAGTAGTGACGAAGGTTTCTGGGTGGTTGATGGCTTCGGGTTTAGAAGAAAATTGAAGCCCGTACACTCTGAAGACATAGCGTTTGGGACTCGAGCTGCTGTATTTTGGGGGTGGTGGGATCCAGAGGAACTTAAAGGACGATAGGAGGGACCACTAGAAGGGACCCCTACTCCAAATACCCTGTATAACCCCAAAATACCCCTTTTATAGTCTCGATATAACCTCAGGGGTCCCTTTAAGGGTCCCCCCTTTAGTCCCTTGAGGAACGGTTTATGCAAAGCCTCGCGATTGGGATTGAAAGCTCTGCCCTGGCAAGGAACTCCGCCGCGGGCCCGCGCCATTGAGTAAACAAACGGTGCCTAAATGGGTAGTTTTCTAAATTAGGGTCCTTTTTGCTGGCCTTTTTATACGGGTGCCGTATCATATTGGGGACCTAAAAAGGGACCCTGTTTTAGAGACCTACCCAAATGATTACCAATACTATGTTGCGGGTTCCTTCGTATAGTGGGCCCCCGAACCCTATTCAATTGTTAATTTAACGCCCCTTAGATTACCAAGCCTGCTTCCTACATCTCAAGCAGCAGCTCCTCAACCCTGAGCCTACTTGGATTGTGCCGTTCTAAGTTCGGGGACTTAAAAACCCGGAGAGCTCATTGGCCCAAGATGAATTTCAGTCATATGTCGAAAAGTGAGAAGAAGCCTCCTGAACCCTACTGCCAGTACTGAGGCCCTACACCCTTGTCCAAACCCTACAAAACCATTCATCAAAACCCTTCTTCAACAATTTTTTTACAGGAACCCTTAAATTTTGAATTAAGAAGGCCCTGAAATTTGGATTGCCCGCCGCAGGACACCACGGATTTGCCCTTAACGGGATTCCTGGTCGTGGCCTTAGGTTGAAGCATACCCATAATCTCCATTGTAGTTCTTTTTTTTGTAGTTTTAACAATTTCTATATTTAGGATCCTACAAGGTACCAACACAATGGAACTGCAATGGAGACCACAGGAAGGTTCGTAGCGAAAAAAGCAATGTCCAAAAGGAGAAATCCTGACTAGTGCTACCCCATTTATTCCATTCCTTGCGCGTGGACGGTGGGTTCCACTGCAAAGGCAGTGCGTCTGAAAGACCTACATCATAATTCTGTTGACAGGGACGAGCTAAACTGCCAGCATTTACTGGTCTCGGTGCTTCCTCTTCGAGATCCAAATGTTGATGCAGATCAGAGTTGGGGTTCATTTCCATCAACTGCCAAAGAAGTTGAGCAACAAGCCGTTGCAGTTTGTGCCAATCGCTTCTGATTGTCATCGACATTTCAGTGGTGCAAATCATAGCATGTTTGGCACATGTCGGCCAGCTAACACGAATGCACAATTCAGAAGGCCAAGTCTTGTTTATTTCAACGAAACGTGGGCAATCCCAAACTATGTGCTGCATGGTGGCGGTGCTGTCCTCATTAAGACAGTACTGGCAGTTGCGTTGCTGTTATTGTCATTTGACAGAGCCTGTGAGATGAAACATGCTCATCTGTGAGCAAACGAATGAGAGGATTTCGGCATGGTGATGAAGGCTCGAGTCCTCTCTGAACAGCTTAATCGCGGCATAAATGTCAGTATGAGCAACTCCTTGTCATTTAGGGTTTTTTGCTCTAGATACTGACAAGAATGCCTACGAATTTGCTCACGAATGAAATGCCCGGGTTGGGGTATATTTCCTCTACTTATAACAAGGAACCCCGAAGTAGTCTTGGGAATTATTCAGGCTTCTATAATAAGGGTACTAGGAAGGGCCTTACACATCTATCTTGGTATCCAAGGGGTACCCCAAAACGAAAATGCGCAGGGTTATATCAACAACATGTTGCACCGACAGCCTCCATACCCGGTACCTCAAACTCCCGAAGCCAAAGCCCCACCAAATCTCCTACTACTAGCCCCTAAGCTCATAAGGAGGGTACGCGGGGGGGGGGTCGGGGTAGGGCGCCTTAATACCTGTCATAAGGACCCTATATACCAAGGCCTACTTAAGGAAGTAGCGTCCCCTACCCCCCCCTCCCTCGCCCCCGGGTCCCTTTGATCAACCCTAGATCTCCAAACCCCTTAAGCCCTACCTGGACTCCAAATATTCAAACAACCTACTTTTTTTCAGGTATATAACGAAATCAAATATATATATATATATATATATATAACGAAATCAGAATAAGGAGCCCCTCAAATGGCAGGTTTCTTGGGGTCCAGGTAGCCCTTAAACCGCTACTAAACGCCCTAAAAAGCAGGCCACGATCCTCCTGTCGATGCTACCACTCATGGCCTTAAAGGCCGCGTTCAAGAGGGGGGGCCATTTTCAGGGTCTAGAGTTTGGGATTTGTTTAGGGTTTAGGGAGGGTTTAATTAGGGTTTAGGATTTAGGGTTAAAGGAGTTTAGGGAGGGGGTTTAAGCAGGGTTTAGGATTTGGGGTTGAAGAGGCTTACGGGGTTTTTGGGGTTTGGGGTTTAGGGTTCCAGAACGGTTCTTCGCATGTTCTGTTAAACGCTTCTTTTGTAGCGGGTTCTATGGGATCAGAATTGCTGGTTTGGCATTGTTCGGGGTTCAGCGCTGTTGGTTTAATATAGGGGCCTTAATAACTACCTATACTCTTTGGGGGGTTCCTTATTAAGTATGCTATAATGGGCCCCCTATTCTGATTATTAAGGCCCCTACATTAGAGGTTTGGCTGTCGAGGGTAGGGTTGTTGGCTTTGGGCGTGGGGGGTTGGCTTCGATCCTCGGTTGTACAGGGCCCTGCTACAGGGCTTTAGGTTTCGATCAGGTTTTATGGTTTTGACACCTAAACCCTAAACCCTAAACCCCAAACCCTAAACCCTAACCTAAACCCTAAACCCTAAACCCTAAACCCTTTCGGTCTAGGGTTTAGGGTTAGGGCTGTAGTTTTACATCGCGAAGTTCAGGAAGATGCGGGTCCCTTCTCCGGCGACCCTTCTGAAAGGGATCCTACGCTGTACTGTCTTCTTAGGGGTACTTAGAAATAATTTTTAATCTTTGGCTACTATAAACCCTAAGAAGCACCTAAAACTATAATTGTTGCTAGGGGTCTAAGTTCAGTATAGTCTTCTGTTCGTAGGACTTCAACGGTTTCTGAAACTCCTGTCTGAGCAACACATACGTCAATCACGGAAGTGTAGTGCCTTCAATAGAAACCTTGCCCACCTCTAGTCTCCATTCTTGCTCCTTGTTTTGGTTTAAACCAACTCTAGATTAAGGATCCGAAAACGGTAGCCCCAAAAAAGGAGCTACAATGGAGACTCTAGGTAGAGCCTTACATGTAGTGCCTGCTTTGGGTTACCTTAGTTTCTTAGCATTGGGGAACCTGAACCATGAAGCAAGCCATCCAAAGGAAGGGTTTAGGGTTTAGGGTTTAGGGTTACATCCTTGGGGACCAAATGACCCTTGTAAGTGGGGGGGCCCTATACCCTTACACTATGAATCCCTATATGGTATATGAACCTGAAAGCCTTTTAAAGTTCATGGATGTAAGGGTCTAGGTACTGAGGATCCTCCACCAGGGGTGTTAAACCATTAAACTCTAAACCCTAAACCCGAGTTCAGGGTTTACAGTTAGGCATTTGTTCTATATTTTGTGGACTTCGGGTCC